ACGTATAATTGTCTCGCACATGGACATGGGACATGGGAAACTTCAAGTTGATTCCGTAAACTTCAAACGACTGTCCTTGCGATTTATTTACGGTCATCGCAAAGGCCCGATGTACTGTAAATTGTAAGTATGGTAAATCCGTTGGAATCATCATCATCATCATGAAGACATTCTCTCCATTGTATTTTTTTTTATGGCTGTTGCCTCAAAGACGTTATTCATCAGCTTTTTCACAGTCACTCTTGTTCCATTGCACAGTCGAGGTTGATTAATGTTACGCAGCATGATGACAACTGATCCTACTTTTAACTGCAAATTGTGAGGTGGTAATCCAGACATTTGCAGTGAATTTAAAAAGTCCGTGGGATAGTTAACTACCTCATCCTGGGTCATAACAGTTTCGACTGACTTGAAGGAACCCAATTGTCCTGGAAGAAAATTCTGAATGGTCGCATCGAGATCCTCGACATCTATATTTTTCGCCACCAATATTGCTCGTTTACCCAGCCAATTATGTTTGTTGAACTTTTGGGCTATACGCTAATAAGCTGAATAAGCCCCTCTTTTGAGTCTGTGATGTGACAGAAATCTGTGGATAATGTGAGGATTCCGGTCGAGGTGACCACTGCAACTTTATTATTTCCAATGTCTAACTGCCTCGCAATCACATTTACAGTTTCATCTTGGTGCAAAAATATTCGCATGTTAGTTGTTAATGGGATGTCTCTACATACTGTCAAAAATTCGATGATTTTGGGCAAGCATTTAGTTCATCAGTTGGTCGGGGAATAATTAGCAGAGTCTGATGAAAATCACCTGACAACAGAATCATGGCTTCACCAAAAATATCTTTCAACGTTCTGTCCAGTGCCTCTTATGGGCCATTATTGCGAATTCATCCCAAACAATCAATTTGCATAGCTGTAGAATCTTGGTCATTGCGCGATTTTTTGCGATGTTGCAAATTGGTGTTAGCAGTTAGCCTGCCTTCTAGCGGAGTCGCAGCTATTCCATATGAAGCCAAGACTAGGGCTACATCATTTCGCGATCTGATCCCCGCCAAAAGCAATAAAATTAAGCACGTTATTCCGGTTCCTCGGGGGCATCACGGAAATAAATTCCACCTGATTCACTATTCATAGCTTCTATCAAAGTGTTGTACTCAATTCTTTGTTCCTTGTTGTTGATTTAATTGTGGAACATTTGTACGAGCTGTTTCGGCCAATGCTTCAATGTCGTACTGTTTTTCTCTGTGCAACCTGTGGTTTAATGCATCGTTTAAATGGGGAAAAAGAAAAGGGCTGTTTTTAGGGTTTTCCTGGAAATTATTATAATTTTTCGCACGTTTGAAACCTTCCCTAGACCTCCACGAACATTTCATGACCAAGATAAGATAAATCCGTTCAGCCGTTCTCGAGTTTTATCGAGATTAACGAACAGCGATTGGTTAATATATATATTTTCACGTATCGATTTATGGATGGAAATATATGACAATATATGACGTTTCGCCAAGATCTCACTTGGCATCTTTAATGCTCGTGAAGTGTTTTCGTCTGTAGGATTCCAGTCGGATGCTGGAGTCCAGTCGGGTATTTTGTTGAAGTCTGGGGATTTTGGCACCCATTTTTGAGGATCTGATTGTTCCCATTGCAGGGCAATGCACGACCAGCACTACTAATCATTGGTGATGCCATACATATGGTGTTTGAGGTTTCAGTGTTCGGTGTAGATCCCTAAGAGTACTTTGAGATTGAATCTGCTTTGATCTTTGACCTGATATTCGCCGCCAGTATGCCTCTGCTATTCAGGCTTTAATTGCATTTCCTACCGATTGGCGTGATATAGCCTACATCAGCTGTGGACCTATTGGTGGTGTTTCCGCCCCCCTTCTTGCTAGGATGTTGGCTTTTTCATTATCTACCAGTCTACTATGTCCTGGTATCTGGGTATTAAGGCTCCACATTTGATAAAGACATGGTGTTGTCGAAACAATTCTCATGTGAATGTTGTGTGTCATGTGAAGGCTCCCTAATATGGAGGCGTAATGAGATGTTTTTAACACCTTCACACTTCACAATGTGCCAAGATCGACTGATAATTTCGTTCTTTGGTGCTACCCATATATGCCAACCTTCACGCCTTCACGTCCACTCATTGCTGCTGTCAATGACGTCTTTAGCATAATTTCTGATGACATCCCCAGAATGTAATACCGTGTGCATCGCATGGTAAAACTGTGTAAAAATGTGTGATTTATAGTAGAAAGCAGTTTTTTTTAATATTTTCTGAAATATTACATTTCCGTGGAACGTATGAGACAAAAACAATGTTTTTTGTTCAAAGAAACCTCCACCGGCTACTGCGATACTATATACAAATCTTCTGGATTCCTCCTGCTGATTTCTTCGCCGGTTGCTGATAAATCGAACTTGCTGACGTTTCAAGAATCATCCTGTTAACTTCTTCAGAGTGTTGCAGACACTAGCTCGCAATATAGTCTGAACCTGTCTGTATACTGCTTCAGGGGGGAGGGGGCTGGAGTTAAAAGGGCATGAACATTATTTCGAATGATTCGTTCGTATATTTTTGAAAGGTAAAGACTCGAGGCACTGTGAGGAATACAACAGATTTGCAAATAGTATGAAACACTGTGTTGATAAAGCAATTTGCTATAAATTATACCCTTGGGTTAGAATTTATTAGCATAATCATGAATTTACCGCAGATAAAGACGTAACAACTTTGGTCAGTTTTTTTTTTATTGGTAGGTTTGTCTTAAGAAACGTAAAAAAATGTAAAAGTTTTTGAAATTTAACATTAATTACATAGCATTAATATCAAATAAAATAAAGAAATTACGCCTTTATTTAAATTTTGTCAAATATTAGAATTACAAAATAATAGAAAAGTATGTGGCGAGATCTAGCACAATGGTGTTGTATCTAGCTTTGACAACTTAAAATTTAAACTGTTTGTACTCTTCCTTTCACCTGACAAGCTGACAGCATGCTCTCTACTGAACATAAATAATTTTTAATAAAATTGTCTGTTTATAAATTAATAACAGCCTTTTTGGAAAAAAGTAAAACATAAAAACCAGAGGAATTGTTGAAAGTGACCTCCACCTTGAAGGAAACATGCTTCACCCCCTTAAAGATTTCAAAAAAATATCTCAGAGTTTACGTTCTTCGTATTCGTATTTCGATGATTCGAAGTATTTTAATAAAACATATAGACAATTACTTAAGTAAAAAATAGTAATGATAATAATTCTCTGCATGCTGTCATACTAACAATATTATTATGACCATGCAAGTTTTAATTTTTTAAGCGAAAACCGTACATTGAATTGAAAAAAATTAATAAATTTCTCTACATCAATGTCTGCCGAAATAGATATCTGAAATTTCGTGCAGACGCCGCTGGTCGACTTAAAAAAAAAGTTATACACTAAATAATGCCTCTTATAAATAATACATGTTTGCGAAAATCTAAAGTGGTATTACATATAATAAAAAAATATATTTTATTTTTGAAAACTTTTCCACCCTGTATCTCAAAAGTTAAGACGTTTAGGACAGATTCCAGTCAAAATTGGCTCCTCCGATACATCGAACCTAAAACCGCATCAAAACTGCAGATACCAGCTCAAACTATCATTTTTGGATCCAAACAGTTACCTTTTGTTGTCAATATGTTTCAAATACTAGTCAAAATTGGCGTCTTCCAGCATTATAGTAACGAACACCTTTATAAACCAGTAGATATCGGTGTAAAACCCCCTTTCTGAGTCAAATAGTTGCCAATTTCGATTTTAAAATGGACCCAAATATCACCCAAAATTTATACCGAGTTGCCAAAACTATGGAAAGGGCATATCTCGGGAATGAATTACGCAATTGATAAAAAGACAAAAAAATGTCTTTACGTATTCAATAAAGAGTGACCCACTGGTGGTGGCAACTGTAAATCTTAAATCGAAACCCCCATTTTTACATTACTGAGTAGTCCGTTTCCATATTTTTTGGAGTGAATAGAGAACAAAAGCTTAAACTTTAACACGGCGATATTCCGCATCTCATGGAATTTAGTGTTATTCATTGCATAAAAATAACAATGTTTCAAAAAAGCGATCTACTCTATTAGGTAAAATTTGCTTTAAAATTTAAAAAACTTTCGTTTGAGACTAAGAACACGAGAACTAACTAATTCTGAAAAGCTCTCCAACAGTAATCCACAAAATTAATTTCTATCTGAACTATTATATAAAAAAATCCGTTACTAAAAATATTGCTGTTACAAGAATTTCATAATCTCCTTATTTAAAATGTCCCGTTATTAAATTTTAATTGAAACAAAATAAACCTTTCAAATCGAAATCTGGCGGAATACGCTTTGTTGCGATAAAATATTCATTGGTTTTCAGCATTTTTGAAAAATGAAAATTTCTTACTTTGCGAACTTGTGTCAACTCGGTCGGAAATAATTTCGTAACAAATGGAATAATGTTTGTCTTTTCCGTTTCTTGTGTCAAAGAAAAAAGTGGCTTTTTTTACGCGGAGGGTGGAGGAAATAAGAGGCTGAACGGGAATTCATTTTTCAACTTTTTCCTAAAGATAAAAGAAAGACGGTTAAAGTATTTCTGTCAGCTGACTCTTAAAAAATTCATTTTTAATTCAAAAATCTCAAAAACAAGCTGAAATATTTAATAGGGAAAAGTAAATATAGATCGCTACTGGAAGAATATGCTTTTTTATTTCCAAAAATGCAAGCGTTCAATCCATCAGAAGGAATAAAGGAATTAATCTGCATCAAAAGATAATATCCGTCAAAAAATTTCCAGAACGCCACTTGACATTTATGAGAAATTTATAAATAATCTGTTAAAAGGCCCTAAGGATTACATTAACAATAGAAGTTTGTTGACAAACTTTTAGCCCCCGATTTAAACCCAAAATAATGATGCACATTTTTGTGAAGTAGTTCAAAACATTTACCTGTTGAAATGTTTTCTAAACGCTCCGCTGACGAAGTAGAGGGCGACCGGATTTGCGCAGGAATGTATGTATCCCAAACAAAAGCCCAATATTCTCCAATAGTGCCAAAATGGGTTGTAGAGTTCTTGGGCGTTCTCGTGGAAGTAGAAGAACAACATGAACGTGTGTGTTGGCGCAAAGCAGACTGCAAAAACTGCGACGAATACTAATACTGTTATGGCTACCTTCTTGCGGGCTTTAATCTGAAATAGGTAAATAGGATTATAGTAGGTGCCCAGCGAGGTTACGAAGATGTATTAACAAACCCAACTATTATTTTTTGTTTTATAATAGTATCCGGTACGAAACTTTTTCGGTACTATTATATAACCTCTATACCACTAAAATGGAGAATCTCATCGGTCACCAAATTTTAGTCCCATATATAACTTTTACTGTCCTGTTTTATTATAAAGTGAAGCAAAGAATTTTTACTTCGACGTTAATGTGAAATAATGAATAACTCAGCTCAAAGGTCAAGAAAATTTCCTATGACTTTTCATTTGACATAAAAAATATTAATTTTGTATTTAAACCTTCCTAAAAATGTATAGTTTTATATGAACTCTCAAGTGATATTAAATATCTTGGAAACTTTTATATAAAAATATGAAGTTATCTTATACCAATACTGCAATAAACCCTAAAAACTTGTTGGGCTACTTCTATATTGCTTTATAAGTTTCCAAAAGGTTTATCAAAAATTGAAAACTATTAGGGCGTAAATATCAATTATGCTAGCGTAATCTCACTTTTCAGTTGTTGTAGAGAGAAATGTGCTTACTTTTCTATAAATATATAGATAAAGTTTAGAATTAAAATAAATTGTGTAAACGAATGAATTTGGGAAAGCAGCATCGCCTTTGGTTAAGGGCATAGTAATCCAAGTTTCTTAGCAGCTGTTAGATGTCTTTAGATCTATAATAGTTTTACAGAGCAAGGTATAAAACTCCAAGTGTAAAACTGTTATGAAAAGCTTTTTATAAAACCTCAACTAACAACACCAAAGGTTTTATAGATAAAGTGACGGAATCGTTTTGGACGCAAGACGTAAAGAGTTTGATATTAATTAGAAGATTTATACCACCAAAATCAAACCAAAAACTGTTAAAAAAGCTCAATTTTCTAATAAACCACCTATAAATATCCGTTACCTTAAATTAAAACCTTAAGTTGCAGAAAAGTTGTGAAGTGTCCAAAATAAAACAGAAAATATGTTTTCCCTTTCACGGGAGAAATTTTTAAAGTTATTTGTCACTGTTATCCACCCAGCAAATATACCAAAAAATATGTGGTTTTAAGAGCTAGAATCATGTAACTTTTTCAAAAACTTTTGAACATAACCATTTACAAATCGTGATGCGGAATTTAATGTTTTTTTTTTTAATAAACTGATATAACTTTTAAATTACTCAACAGATTTTGAGAAAACTGGCCTTTCTGAAGAAAGAATTCTTCAAAACTTCAAAATTCAAAATTTCTCGAAAAGGGGCATAATAAGAAAATAGACTATGAGATATGGAGAAAAACAAATATTAAAGTTATAATTTAATGTGTAATGTGTATTTGTATATATTTTGATATATTTTAAGATTTTCAAAATAGCTTTCAGTAATAAAATTCTTTCGACCTCAGTTGCGAAGGCTCTTTACGAAAACAGGGGAAGACAATATTCCACGTAATGTAAGGGTGGAATTCATAATCCATACCTCAGGCTTCCTCGACAAAGGAAGACATCATTAATCCTTAAGGCCAAGACAATATTGTCTTCGATCGGTGCTGATAGTACTAAGCAAATTTCTCACAAAAATGGTTTAAGTTAATGCCCCAATTTGGAAGGAATTCAAAATATACCGCGATCATATCGGCAGCTTTGTCGTTTTCATAAAATGCATTTTAATCGTTCCAAGGCCTTACAAACTAATACAAATTACAAAGCTTGTTCATTATAATTTAAGTGTTTGTTGAAACCTTCATTTTAGTCATTTGTCATTTCCTGCATTGCCTGTTCGCCATATACTAGCATTTGCGTGTTGAATATTATGACTACATTTTTTTATTTGAACCAAGAGCACTTTTATGCATGACATGTGATAAATACATGAAATTTTATCATTGATTCATTAAAACCCTGTCTTAAAACATTTTAAAAATTGGTATAGTTGGTTCTAAGTGCTCCCGAATAAGAATTCTTTGGCAATTATTATTTTTTAAATCCCTAATAGTACTCTCTTCTCTCTCTTTTGTTAAATATTCTCAGTTGATCATGACTTTTAGTTGAAACAATAAGTAAAACGAGGTTTAAGTGCATTTTTTAGAGACCTATCTAACAAAAAAAAATAAAATCGAACCATAAATAAAGATTTTACAAGGGTGTACAGTTCTTAAGTGCAAAACACGGTTTCTAGAGAAAAATCACTTTGAAAATTGAGGATGGCGGATACAATTATTTTCGCGGTGTTTTTTGTTCACTTCAGTATGAAACATTTGACCGCAAGTCTCAGCTATGAAAAGTTTCTGAATTGTTAATACCAGAATTACACTAATAAACTCTTTGTACATGCGTAGAAAGGCGTCACGTACACAAAAGTGATTCAGTTGTCATTAAATTTGTCTACAAACTCTAATCTGTCGGTTTCTTGTTAAACACTATTTTGACTGAGTAAATTTTCGTAGGAAATGAAGTTACTAAACAACACAGCGGGAACGGCGGTTGCTTTAAGCAGCGTTCGCAATAATAATTTCCTCTCTCGAATTAAGAAGACTTCCGTCAACGGCGTACACTTATAGATGCCTGTGCTATGCGTAGTTTGAGAGAATGACAGAGAGTTGCTCTTTAAATTAACTTAAATTTGAAACTAGCAGAATTCAAAATCAACATATTCGAATATTGAAAAAATTATTGATTGATGGTTGATTGATTCATTAACGGGTGCAATAGTTTAAGTAAAAAATCCAGAGGAACAAGAATTTGAGACGCCGAAGCATCAGAAAAATAACAAAATTAAATAAGCTAAGAATTCTTTTTGATAGACAGAACGTTTAAACAGATGAAAATATAATAAAGGAAAAAATGTCGATAAGGCGGAAGTTGCGAATAAACTAAACTAGCATTTTGTAGTGACAGGAAAAACAAATATATCTGAAAATAGGTACCACGTATTGACTAGGTAAATGTTGTTGATCTTATAATTTTGGAAACTTTAAACAATTTAGCCAATAATGAATTTGTCTCAGGCATCGTATCCTAACGAGTTAAAGGTAGCTAAACTGCAGCCATTGTTTAAATCAGGTGAAAAACAACATGAATAACTATAGGCCAATCTCCGTAATAAATTTGTTCCCAAAAATAGCGAAAATTATGATTAAATCGAATGCCTAGATTTTTAGAAGATAACATGGTTTTCCAAAAAGCGCTGGATTTTTGCCGGCTGCATTTGATTTAACTAATTTTATATCTGAGGCCCTGGTCTTAGTCTTATTTGTAGATTTACAGAAAGAATTTGATGTCGTTAATATGGATGTTCATTTTTTTAAATTAATGCAATTAAATTTGTCTGATAGACAGGATAGTAAAAATGATTTAATGCTGAACACCCACGGGGTACCACAGGGCTCAGTTCTGAGCCCACTACTATATTCAGTTGACGTCCTAAACTTAATGCTTGCAAAAACTTAGAAGCCAGTTATTTTACCTTTTATAGAGTCAAAAATGAAAGTACATTAGAGAATAACCTGGAACGTTACCTGGTATAGTTGTACTATTATAATTTAAAAATTAACACAAGCAAAACAAACGTTATATTATTGCCACAGAAATACTTTTATATATATCTCGCATACGTGTCTCTATTGTTTATTAGATATTTTGATCTTATTATAGATGGAATTTGGAAATATCACATTTTGAGAATAAATGAAAAAATCCAAATCAGTTATTCCCATAATTTCCAAACATCGAAGTTCTTTAACATAAGACCAAAATGTAGGATAAAAATATAGGGTATCTACCAAGTGGTCTGTTTAATGTTTAATGATGATGTTAATGTAATAGCAGTCAGATAAATGTTAAAAATCGATTTAACGGTCACGCACTCGAATTAAATTTTCGAAATTTTTGCTTTGGGGTGGTAATGACGATGGACTAAATTACCATAGTTTTCGAATCACTAACATACTCAATTCTAACGTTTAGAAAGGCACCGATCCAAAGTATAAGAAGAAAAATTCTTCAAAATGTCATAAAACTTTGTGCAAATGCAATAAGAAATATACATTAATGGTGCAAGACTAAGAACAACTTTTAGAACTATATTGATTAAAAATAAACAATTGTTTTCGTTACTCTTCTGTGGTCACACAGTTTTGCATTTGCAAAACAAGTTACAAGTGTAATTAATGTAGAAAAATTATAGTGTTATAAATTGTACTATGTTTATCTTTAAACATGATTTTTTTTTCTAGTTTTATATAAATAATATCTGAATGAAAAATCCTTATTCGTATCTGCCCTTTAAGAAGGAGTCTCGTGAATACACAAATCAGAAACCCATTTTACAAAATGCTATTACGGCTAATGGCTTTATTTAAATTTTATTGCGGAGTGGTATCCCATGCACAAAATAATGCGAAACTTGTTAAATTTCCACTATGCCCGGAAGACACACTATCACAAAAATAGCTGTGCCTTGAATTAAAATGTTTTGCGCCACACATGATTTGAAAAATTAGAAATCACACACTTACTTGTCGTTGCATGCCCTGCATCTCACCGGGTACATTTTTGGTGCTTAATATCAAATACACAGCCATGGTGAGGTAAAATACGGCGATAATGGTCAACGGAATAATGTACAAAATGAGAAACTTCATCATGACCATGACTTGGGGATAAGCGTGATTTAACCAATCCTCCGGGAAGGGATAGCAGACTTCGAACTGCAACACGCCCTCGTCGTCCCTTATTTCCTTTATGTGGGACCCTATCAGAGCCGGAATTGAGCAAAGTATCGCCAACAACCATATTAGTATCGCAATGCAAATTGTTATCCTGGTTGCTTTTTTTCCGCCACCTGAAACAATAAACACCAATCTGTTCTGAAGAAATTTAACACTATGTCACCGGAAACAATAAACTTAATAATAATAATGATAATCATAACAATAATTATAATTATAATAATAACAATTATTATTATTATTGTTATTATTATTATAAATCCAAGGAAATATATTTTCAAACAAGGTGTTCTGTGAAAGCGTGGCATTACTTTATATTTTTACATGTTACGTTTAATGCTATGTTGCCGACTTATTTAATATGAACGGACCTTACATTAGTCATTATTATTATTAGGAGTTCAGTGATTAAAGGGATTAAATATTTGCCAAATTGACGAAGTTTAAACCAATTTTTTCCCTGATTGTCCTTGTATTTAACTTTGTAGTTTTTAGCTATACCTTAACCTCAACGCTATAGCTACCGATTCAAATTTTCCATAATATTAGCTTTTATTCATCATTTACAAAAATACTTTTTTGTAAATTATGTAAATATTTATGGCTATCTAGTGCGCCCTGAATATAAAATTAAATCATATTTAATAATAGGAGCTGATTAAATCTTGTTTTGAACTACCAAATGTAAGCCGTTAAAAAATAATATTGGTGAATGGCATGAAAATTTGGACCAAATAGTTAGTTGTCACTAATACAACTAATATCATCTAGAAAACACAGTCCAATGCTTCTCTGGATACCACAACTTAAACGTGAGATATGGAAAAAAAATGTTATTGTTATTTTTATTGCTTTCTTTATGTTGGAGGTTAGATTTATCCCTATTTGATTTTTTTTTCTTCGCCATCTGGTGCCACCCTAAATTTAAAAATTATAAAGACATTATTAATATTAATAGAATTAAAGACTCATTAAAAAAAAATTTCGAAATTATCCGAAATAAGATATTGTGTTTTTTAACATTATCAAACCACTCTTTATATTATTCATAGCTTGGGAGGGAGTTGGGAAAAATATAAAAAACATAATGCTGGCGTTTTCAAGGGAAATTTTCCGAAGGGGATTTTTAGACTATCAAAAGAAAGTTGAGCATCCAGGTAACTACTCCGCCTTCTACCTATGATAGTATTCTATATATATTCAATAGGTGATTAATGTACTGCTTAAAAAAATATATTAGCTTGTCGTCAAGTTTTCTTTAAAATTGGATCTAATTGAATTGAATAGTATCGTGATTCCATAAATAAAAGCGACCCTGATTGTACTGATTTTGGTGAGCGTATTCTTGATACCATGACACCATGACACCTATGATTGTAGCCGATAAGCCCTAATTCTCGGCTAAGTCTGGTTATGTGTAAATAGACTCAGACAAACATGAGACCATTTACTGTGCTTCATACAGGCAATCAACCAACAATCGATACCGATATATGGCAAAGCATATCCTGGGCGCTACAATTTCTATGGCACACAGTATATTCTTATGCCCTATTTATCTTCCTATTTATTCCCACTGCCTTGGTTGTTGACGAATCGAACGGAAGTTTCACTAAGCATCCTGTTGGCTTCTTCAGAGCTTAACTGGAACTGGTTTGCATCATATTCTACACCTGCTTATATACTGTTAGGTATTTTCGTGAAAGGTAAAAACCTTCTTGGATTTTTCTTTGGCACAAGGATGCACGAATTTTAGTTGGTCGAATAAGATTTGATCTACGGTTTCATGATTATGTTCGGCAGCTTCTGATGGGTTTGTCGTAGTATTAAGGCACTCTTATGTTCTTTTATCCTAGTTGATATTTCTCGTCAGGTCTCTTCGATTACCCTATATATATGGAATGCTGAAAACTCCTGGTATCTTAAACACAATTTTGACTTTGATGAATCGAAGATGTTCAGAGACTGCCACTCGTCCAAACATCCCTCCACATCTTTGATCCAGCAACAACACAATTCCGTTTTAGTTTAATTTAAGCTCTGAAGAAGTCAGAATAGTTGACGACACTTCGTCAAGATTTGTATATAGTACCACAGTAACTCGTAGAAGTTTCCATGAAAATGTTTCCTCTACCAACATGTGGAAATATTTTCCCTTTGATCATCCTAGTAGTAACTTTGACATCCATCCAATTGTTATAATAGGCTTTTCAGTGAAATATAGATCCCTATATTATTAATAAGGCGATTTACTTAATTAATGGGATATTACAAGTTTGGCCGATATGCTTGGTAATTAAACGGGGAAAGCTTTAAGGGCAGATTCATGAAAATGTGCCCCAGAAGGCATTGCGGCAGCTTAGGTTCGACCGCCTCAAAGTTTTCCGTCCGTTGAGTTACGATTTCCAGACTGAGTCTATCGAACGGATCCGTTGAATGGGATATTTATAGAATGGTTTAATCGAGTTTATTCAATCAGTCTGTCTTCTGAAATTAATTGGTAATGAAAAATTGTCTGTATTCAAATTAATTTCGTAAAGCACCTCATTGAAACAAGTTAGTTGTCAAAGAGTGGGAGACGAGCGCAGCTCTAATGTTTGCTATCAAAACCAAAAGAATTAAGCAAACGTTAGAACATCAAACATATTTTGTACAAGACCACATTTAGTTAGGTAGACAAACTTTTTATTAAATTTCATTTCTACATCTACGTTCATGCCTAAACTAGAGTCCATTTGCAATCCACTGATTTTTGAATTACTTATCCTGGAAAAGAATGAAGAAGAAACCTTCATAAATTTGAGGTTGTAATGCAAAGAACGCTACTAGGGTAATAAAAACATTCTAGATATAGAAAATTTATTAGTCTTTTAATGAATCACCCGTAAATGTAATTAACTATTTAGTACTGGTTTGAGAATGGGGAACATATTCTGTTTATAAACAACTTGTATTAACGCAACTTTACTGGAAGTTAATAAAAATTATAGAAAGTATACGCGCGCATCCTTTAAAGTTTCATGTTATGTAAATATGATATATTAATATTGACAACATTTACGTATTAGTTCTAGTAGTTCGAATTGCACAATGCAAAACTAATCAAATTACCAAACGAGCTGCATTTTTCGGAAAATTAAGATGTTAAAAACCGAAAAATATTTAAACATAGAAAATATATATAGGAAATTTTTAACAACACTAGTTAGCAAATTAACAATCAACAATAACTTGCCGATATTAGCAGAATAATTAATTTTGGTTGTATTTCCTAACTCAGTCACCTCCCTGTCACAAAATGAACTATATTTTATTGTATTATTTATTTAGGTATTTAGTCTAGGATGCCTAAGCGGTTTGATTTCTACTCCTTTTAACTAGGTTGTACCAAAAAGCAGTTAAGAAAGCGTCTGTCCAATTTTTTCGAAAATGGACTAATTTTTAGGAAACTAAAAACTAAATTTTTCCTAAGAAATGTTTTCTATAATTTCAAATTTTTTAACATGATTTATACAAAAAAACAATTTTGAATTAAAGCAAATGTTTCAAAACTTTCGTAAATTGATTTATTTATTATGTTTGATACACAAACTATTTCCAAAATTAAAATTTCGCCAAAAGTCATTACTAAAAAATGTTCCAATATGATCCGCACTTGTGGTGACACTGATTTCTAGGGATTTTGTAAATCTAAAATGCATGAATATATTTTCGATATCTGGGTCAGGTGTTTAGTGCTATTATATTATATCGAATCTAACGCAGCACTCAAATTTGAAATAAAAAAAATAGTAGTTATAATATTTTTCTACTCCCATGCAACGATTACCAACGCATGCCAGACGATGGTAAACTTCTTATGATGCTCGTTTATTAAACACCCGCTTGGCTGCGCTGCGCTCGTGACTGACTTTCGTTTATGAAATTTGTTGCATAATATACTATTAAGAAATTTTCATTTAAATGCGTTGATTAAACGAGAATATCACAAATAACACCGACGGGATCGTGTTGTCTGGAAGGGAGGAAAGTTCGAAATAATCCAAATTAAATTTAAATTAACCGCATGTATGTAAATCCCTCGAAAACCCTTATTAGCCCAGTCCCGAATCTGTCTTTCGAAATTATGTAATAGGACCTCCAGCACACGGCCTTCTTTACCCCGGAATATTTGTGCTATATTAACTTTTGATATTACGGTTTGATTATGAAATAATTAATTTAATATAAAAAACATTTCATGGAACCTACAGATTTTAATTCTTTTAAATTACGTTCGTATAACTAGAATCATGTTTTATTGGAAGTTGATAATGCTGATGAATAACTCTCAATTCTATCTAACAGTGGTTTTAACATCTTATAGTGCAAATTCAATCTCATGGGGGGATTATATCAAAATTACTAAAGTACGAAAGAAATATCAAAATTACTAAAGTACGAAAGAAATTTTATTTGAAACCACCGATTATTAACGGTTACGGTATTTGCAAGCTCCTAATTTTCTGTGTCAAGCAAGCCTTCATTAGATTTCAATAACTATCTTTCGCTCTTATCAACATAGGTGCGTTATTGAGTCTCAGAATAGTTGTTTGCGATGAAAACAATGCCCTGTGTATTCGGTAGGGTTAGGTAATGTTAATAAACTTAGTATTTCGAACAACTTCTGTACTTTCTATGTAAATGTAGGTCTTTTTCTCCATTAATTATGAATGACCTTGGGTTATTTGTTTTGGTGTTTGAATGGAATGTTAACCAAATGCATACTTTAGTTGTGCTGTTATGTCGTCAATTAATATATTTGCAATTTTGTCACAAGAAAATGTTCATCTGGTACTTCAAGTAGGAATTTTTCGATATCCATCTTATATGAACATATTTACTTATGCTTTGTGGTATGGATATCATTTTCATGTACACTACGATTTTCTAGCCTAATATTAGGTCGGAAAATGTCACTTGTCACGAGAGGGTTTGAAAAAAAACTTTGCCGAATTTTTCAAGCTTTGTATTAGACTATTAAAATTATAGCTTAATTCAAGAATTTTCGCAGAAATCTATGAATCAAACTATTAATTACACCCTCTTACAGAATCATTTGTAAGTACGGGTATTTGACTTACCGTTTTGGCTTAATTGGCATATAAAATTAAAAACTGGGTATTAAGATATGAAACTAGGAATTAGCTTCTTATCAGCTTCTTCACAATCGTTTTAGAGCATTGTAAAGAAGTCATATTAAAAACGGAATATTAAGCTTTGCGCAATGTTACCAAATTTCGCCAATTACTTATTTCTACGTTTAAACGTCTACGTGAAATGATAACAAAAAATCAGCAATAACCATTAATGCATATATATATATATATATATATATATATATATATATATATATATATATATATATATATATATATATATATATATATATATATATATATATTCTCACGTATTGATTCACGGATGGAAAAATGTGATGACACTATATTCCGGGATATCATCCGTTCGCTCGTTGAACTCCGACTGGAATCCTGCATCCGACTGGAATCCTGCAAATCCTGCATCCGACTGGAATCCTGCAGACGTTTCGCCAAAATCTCACTTGGCATCTTCAATGCTCGCGCTCCGAAAACACTTCGAAGTGTTCGCGCTCCGAAAACACTTCGAAGTGTTCGAAGTGTTTTCGGAGCGCGAGCATTGAAGATGCCAAGTGAGATTTTGGCGAAACGTCTGCAGGATTCCAGTCGGATGCAGGATTTGCAGGATTCCAGTCGGATGCAGGATTCCAGTCGGAGTTCAACGAGCGAACGGATGATATCCCGGAATATGGTGTCATCATATATATATATATATATATATATATATATATATATATATATATATATATATATATATATATATATATATATATATATATATATATATATATATATATATATATATATATATATATATATATATATATATATATATATATATATGCTATTTCTAAATGCTATATGGCATTTGATATGTAATTCCGCGCGAACTCTTTGTTGCACTTCCAAAACTGTTGACTTTTTATCAATGTAAACCATATCATTCAATGTGCCCGACGCAAAAAGTCCATCGGGGTCAAATCTGGAGTCCTCGCTGGCCAGGAGATGGTTCCGTTTGGTCCAATCCACTCCCTGAAATTTTCGTTTAACACTTCGATGGTAAGGAGCGCCATCTTGCTGCCAAATTAATTTGGATGCTCTCTTTGGGGAATATTATTATGTATGTAGCCGAATTTTGTTCCATAATAAGTTTAAATATCGTATGGATATTAAATGTTGTTGATAAAATATGGTTGATAAAATTCTAGATCTCGAGATTGCTTCTTTTTTTTATTTTCACTAAAACACTGCCATTTGTTCTAAACTGTTGATATATTTTGGCAAATATTTTTCTTTCTAGCAATCGCCTATAGGAAAATTTGGCTCTATGTTGTCTGAGAGCAAGAGCCGGACTGTAGTTATTGGCGATGTAATGTAATTTCCTCCTTCGTATACATTATACAAAATAGACTCCACAAAAATGCAATTTAATAAAATAATTGGAAAATGGTGGCAGTCCGAAAAAAGACGCTTAAAATATTATAATACCTGTCAAAAAATCAGCATTACCACAACAAAGAACTACTATTGTTTTCTAAGCTACTGCGATGATTATGTCAAAAGGGTCAACTTTAATAATATCATATATCACATAATAATTTTGTCTTTGCCTCTGGGAACAGGCAGGTTTATATATATTTTTAAAGACAGGCGGTCTATATTATTAAGAAAATGAACATTTTCTAAAAGTTTTTTTCCATTTACATTATTGAAAAATAATTTCCAATTAATCCAAAACGGTAAGTCAATGACCCGTACTATGTTACATACTTGAAATTGATATTCGAAAATCCAATAATGTACAGGGTGCCTCATTTAAGAAAATTGAGAAAAGTATCATTTTGCCAAACGTGGCAACACCGCGTATTTTAGGAAAATATTTTAAATTTGACCATTGCCTAGAGAAAAGCATTAAAAGTTTAAAAAGTCAATAAAAGTTAATAATAAGTTGTGCGCAATGATGATTTAAACTTAACCTGAATTCTGAAGGTGATCCCTAATAAGTTCGAAACGGTGCATCAAAGACCCATACTCATATGTATCGTTGAATTTGTCTTTCAAATAACTATCCAAAAGGCAATTCTATAAAAAAAAACTTTGTTCTACCAGCCTGTATATAAAAAAGTGAAAATTAGGAAAATAAAAAAAATAAAGGTCATTTTAAAAAAAGAAACTTTTGTATTTAAATTTTGTTTGTAACCCCCGCAGGTTTCGAGATAAGGTATAGACCCCTCTTAAACGGGCCACTCTGTATATAAGGGCTACAAAATTTAAAAGAAAGGCTATAGAGACGGATAAGTATAGGGGACAAGGAGAATTTATTTAACAATATCAACTACCACTATGTTGACAGAAACGGAGAAATAATGCTAGCTAGGCTCATCTCCCTCCGATGACGTCACTTTTGCTTTCGCGCAAAAACACTATAAAACTCTCCCAGAGGAATGAGTCCACTAATCAGGTCCCATATGCCAATGCTGTCACGTAACTAAACCCTTGGTTGTGCTTGCCGATTCATTAGCGAACGCTCGTTAGCGCAGTGAGTACTCGAGTGTTTTAGCCCATAATTAGATCGTTTACAAAACTAATGTAACGAGGAAGGTTATGCAACGTTTCGGAAATAATGATAGAGTGTATTAACTTACTGCTCGTGTGGAACTTTTTCAACGGGTCCACGATAGCGAAAAAGCGATCTCCGGAGAGGGCCGTGAGCGTGAAAACGGATACTCCCACGGAAACGTCCTTTGCGGTTTCGGACACTTTACAAATTAGCTCCCCCCAAGGCCACGACTCCACCGTGTAGATGACTGACGTAAAGGGCATGCTCGTAATTATTACCAACAAGTCGGCCAGCGCCAACGAGAGAATGTATCTGGAACAAATAGGGACGATTAACACAATGCATTAAACAATAACAATTTAAATCTGCGGACTGATTTTAATTTAAATTCAAAGTTGCGAAAGTAAATTTTTTTATGGACAGCGAATTCTGCAGGTACACACGGCGATTAAGGACAATGATTGATTTTTCAAAGAAACTTTCACAGGCTACTGTAACACTATTTAAAAAAATCTTGTTTCCTGTGCCGAACAAGCTCCATTCAACAACGACCAATCCAGGAAGAATATGATACTAAAATCTTACTGCACGTTCTTACAGAAGCTTAGGTTTTATGTCTAAATATAGAGCAGATTTATCTTAAAGTTTATTTAAAATACTGTGCTGTGCGCTTGTCCGTTTAGTGGTGAAGTATGCAAGCCAAGTATTGTCTTCTTTTTATAGAGTGCACATTGAGAACATTGAAAGTGTGCAGAAATTTTTTTTACGAGTTGCTGGGTTTAGATTGAGAATTCATAAAGTAAATAGACATGTTAATTACAATACCGTCCAGTGTTGTTACGTATTTAAATACATATATTTAAAGATATATTTGAAGTATATGGTCCGTATTTAAATACGAATTGAAATACTGTTTTTGTAGTTTAAATGTAGTTTAAAATTATATGTACCTGAACTTTTAAATATTTGAAGCTAAACTTGTACCTATTACTCTGTCATTAATACATGGTATTATAATATTAATATTACTGTATTAATACATTGTTGGCAACAATACGAACACAAGGACCCCGGTCACACAGGACTAAATTAATGGTCCTATAGTGATGTGCATTTAAATCCTTTTAAATAAATTGCAGATAGAATTGTAGTTACAGTTAAATAAAGCTTCAAAATTTTTATTTGAAATATATTTAATTACTCTGTAGTATTTTTCAAATTTGTCAGTTTCAGTCAAGCTCTGAAGAAGCCAGCAAGGTCGACTCAGCAAAAACCGACGCAGGAAAAATCCAGAAGTTTTGTAAAAAGTATTACTTTGCTGTAGTACTTTTGTTAAATTGTTTTTTGCTCTGATGCTGTCCCAAGTAGTTTTAATATAGCTCTTTAGAAACTGGGACTCTCGGATGTGTTTCGCTTATAAATTAATCACAGGTGAAATTGACTGTAGCTCTCTATTATCAAAAATAAATTTGAAAATATTCTTTGGCACCAGATCTTTACTTGCCGCTTAGAGGTGCAATCTATGGTTTCCACGGTCCACTTGTATGTATATACGAGGGTCACTTGCACAGTTTCAGACCTAACCATAATACAAGACATTTGTTTTTCTCTTTTTTTATTTTTCTACATAGTCGCCTTGCTGCTCTATACACTTCCCCCAGCGATGCTCCTATCTTTCTAGCCCGTCCAAATAGTACTCAGCATTTTTCTTCGCAAAACAATTGTTCACCACTCATTTGACGAAAATCTTTGTCCACCGAGCCCATTTTTTAGATGACGAAACAAGAAATTATTAAACTTTAGTAATATTATCGTGGGTAGTTACAGTTTTTGGACGTTCAGAACGTTCATCATCTCCTAAGCTCTTACGGGCACGTTTAAAGTCAGCTGTGGCAAATGGCGATACACAGTCCCCACACAGAGTCCATTGCCTTTCGAAAACAATTATTTTATAAGAATCATTTTTTCCATTTTCACGGAAATACTAACATTGACTCACTCAAACCACTCTCAACTAAAAACCTTGCGTCTAAAATGCCTGAAACTTTGGTAAGTTACTATCAAGCGGCGTACAACTACGATCACTAGCTTTTAGTAACAAGTTTAATCTTGAGGTTAGTTGACTTTTTTACTTTTTCACTCCTTGAGTTTTGTAAAATGATGTAACCGTTGGACAAATAAATAAATATATTCGCAGTAGATGGCAGGCAGACGATTAGGGAGACTGGGACATGGGATCGTTTCGAACTTTTTTCCTTTCGTTCTTTTCTTGCTTTCTGATTATTTTTGTATAATAATAATAACGATTAGGGGGAATTTACCACAGCTCTCAGTATAAAAATTCATTCACTAAACGAAATAGTATGTTGAATATTAAATATTTTTAAATTAAGTATCTGAATTCTGAAATCTCAAAAATATTTGGTTCTGCAGTTAGGATTGGTTAAACTTTGAAATTTTTTATATTTTTGAAAAACTGACGGAAAATGGGATTCTGTTTTCATCATCACACGGGAATACGTGGGAAATTAATTTCTGCCATTTTTTGGATAAACATTTAAAACAAGGAGTTTGGCATTTGAAATGAAATTTTTTCAATGTTCAATTTCAATATACGAGGTGTGTTCAATATGTAAGGTGACTTTGAAGTTTTATCAAAAAGTATTTATTTATTTACCAAAATTAAAGTTGTCCCCTTCAAGGTGCACTGGTGCCAACGTTTTTTCCAATATTCGAAGCACTCCTGGTGTAGCCTTGATTTCTTACAGCGATTTTTTTTATCTCCTCAATCGTTCCAAACCTCCTCCCTTTTATGAGTTTCTTGAGTTTCGGGAACAGGAAAAGGGGGCATATCAGGTAAATATGGTGGATGAGGCATGATTGTGGTTTTGTTCTTGGCCAAAAAGTTAGACACTAGCAACGATGAGTGATCAGGTGCATTATCGTGATGCAAAATCCATGAATTGTTTACCTACAATTCCGGACATTTTCTCCTAATTGATTCTCGCGAACGGCGTATAACTTCAAGGTAATACTCTTTATTGACCGTACGGCCTTGTGATAAGAACTCTTGATGTACTACGCCACGATAATCAAAGAAAATGGTGAACGTACGTGAAATACAAGAAATTGTGAACATATGTTAGGGTTATATTCCAACATAACAAAACATATACCGAAGAGCGAATGGGCATAGCCCGCCCAATTACAAAAGTCACCTTACTTTTTGAAAACACCTCGTATTAATATTCTTAATATCGTTGCCTCAGATATGCCTAAAATCGAAGTTTTATTAATTAACTTAAAAGACAACATTTTATAATGACAAAATGGTGGATGCAATTGAATTAAAAACTTTTCATGAGTGCAATTTTAAGTACATTATAGTATTGGATTGAGGTGACTTTTACTTGATAAGAATCCATTTAACACAAATTAAATTAGAACAAAAAATGTTCAGATTTTCATAGTTTTTATTGTTTTATATCAGCTGTTTCGGCAACAAAATTCAAAGGGTGCGAAATATCTCCGAAAACATACGATTGCTCCCAAACCCGTGCGGTAAAATCGCGGAAATGTCCGAAGTGGCTCGGATCCGTGGTAAACGAAACTGATGTCGTCAAGTTACGCTTCCCGCACGCTAGATCGGTGTATAATTAGGTATTTTAAAGACGGGAGTAGAAAAAATATAATTTAGGAGTGCAGCAACACGCGATCACAATAAAATCGATATCAGATACAAAAAAATATTTGTAATTCCTTTCATAGAAAAAAATGAATTTTTTATGAAAAGTGCTGCTTGTTGCGAAAATTTAAACGTGTCCCTTATAAAATAAAGTTGTTCACAAATAAATACAAAGATTTTAACTAAATTAGTAAGTTGTTTCTGGGTGAACGGTAAGTATATAGAGCAGTTTTAAAAACTCGAAATTTCATTTAAATATTTATATTTTAGGTTTGTTTATGAAATAATCCGACTTATCTGTTTGTGTTTTCGATTATAAATTTTAATCACAACACATTTTGTAATAATACTATGCAATAAATAATGGTACTTCTTCTATTGACGCATTTTATTTCATGGTTTTTAAATTAATACCACATGATTTGAAGCTTTTCCAACAAGCTGCATTATTTGTAAAGAACAGGTTTTCGTTACAAATTGAATAATAAAAGTATTTTTCTACTCCCGTCTGTAAAATACCTAATTACCACGTCAGTTTCTTTTCCCATGGATCCGAGCCACTTTGTCAGTTCTGACGATCATGTCAGTATTCGTTCATTTGCAAAAATGTACCCTAAAACTAATACACAGAAAAATGTTCTGCAATATATCAGACAATTTAAATTCTACGCGCTATAAGCTACAATTAAAATCTAGTGCACTAGTGGGTACGTAAAGTGACATTTGCACTTTGTTTCCCACAGACATTTTTCATACCGTTCGCATGAACTTTAGTGGTTTTTCCAGTTTTTATATTAATATGTTGCCAAGACCAATCATACCATTTTCATGTCTCATCAGTACCGACAAAACAAAATTGAAGGTTAGGACCTGCTTTTCCTTGCTTATAAGGTCTTAAAAATTTAATCCTCTTAAAAGCTCTATCCCTAGATGATTTTTCTTCCAACTACAGTCTTTTTTTTTAAATAAGCTACTTAATGATCAATTGTAAATTGTTAAAAAAAAATTGAAAAATTGTAATAAATGAACAACATAACATCTCTCTCTGTCTAACGTACACCGTTAAAACGAGACAACAATAGCAGAACCGATCGGAACGATAAACGAATAGGTTTAATGGCTACTAGTAAATATTTTGTTTGAATGGTACGAAATTTGGTAATCCGTTAATCTGTTATTATTTTTAATTTGTTAAATTGTGAGTTTTTCGTGACGGTCGCAGAAAAAGTATAGTACGGAACACGCTTGGTAAACTCTTTATCTCACTCGTTTATTAAGCACCAGCTCCGCTAGTGTCAAATAAACTCATGAGTCAAATGCCGTTTACCGCACTTGTTGCATAATATACTATTCCCCGTTGTGAACATTCCTGGATATCACACAATCAATCAATTATGCGATGTAATTTGCAGCATTGCCTTATTACAATTGGACACCCCTCAACATAGTTCCATTCGACCATAACTGAGATTGACATTGGGAAGCAACTCAAACTTAAATTACGGCGGGAATGTTGTCAAATGGCAAACATGACCCCCAGAAATACGTGATAAATAATTTAGGTCTTCGCTAGGACCGGGATCGATAACAAAATAAGTCGCAAAAATAAGGAGACGAAGGTGGAGTT